TTTTTTGAGTTTCAATTCTGTGTTCGAGTCCTGCATTTGGATCCTCATCTCTGCCTGCCCGCACACAGAGCCCTGACAGGTTCGTGATGCAAAGCATACTGTACATTTAGGTGCTATCCCAAAACATAGTAGTGTGAAAAAACCTTCTTTTTAAGTCAAAGAAGGAAAAAAAAACAGAATATTGTTAAAAGGCCAAGTCAGAAACCTGATGTCACAATGTAGTGTGCTTTTGACTTACACAATACAAAAGTAAAAGCAGAGAAACTATTGAAAACGCAGCTGCCATGACGGCCTGCCTATTGTGGCAGAATAAACTAGAATCTCCTGGAAACTAAACTGATAACATCAATGTGCTTCTTATCCTTATTAGAAATCCTTATTAGAAAAACAACCCAAAGCATGATGCTTCTACCTCCATGCTTGACTGTGGGAAGGGTGTTCTTTAGATTATACTCAGCATTTCTCTTCCTCTAAACATGGCGGGTCGAGTGACCACAGCGTTTCCTCACAATCCTTCACTGAATCATTTAATGATCATTGGCAAACTTAAGATGGGCCTGTACACCTGTCTTCATGTACAGGGACCATATGAGCACTGCAGGATTTCAATCGATTACATCCATTCAGTCCTTACTGAGTTACCAATGGTGTTCTCTGTGATTGTTCAGATCATTAACAAACTCCTCCCTTGTAATTTTGGGCTGATCCCCCACCTTTCTCATGATGATCTTCACCGCATGAAGCAAGATCTTGCATGGAGCTCCACACCAAAGGTGATTCATTGTCATTTTGTATGTCTTCCATTTCAGAATAATCACACAAACAGCTATCATTTTCTCACCAAGCTTCATGCTGATTGTTCTGCGTACATTGTAATAGTTTAGCATTAGTAAATCAGCTTACTTCAATAACATTTCATTCATACTGGACCCGACTCGATGATTTGGGTGAGTAAATATACGATACATTGTACTTTTCAAGAGAGTAGGCAGGTTTGTGGTTTCTCTTTAAATTTCTGTTAAATTTGACTTCCGCATGGAAGTCCCGCCCCCTCTCGCAAAATAAAAGTGCTGCTGTCGCAAGGTCTTGTGACTTGACTGTAACTTGTCAACAAAACAGTAATGCTGAAGTTCGTGTCGCTATTGCTGGCCCTTAGTTTCTGCCAGGGCCTGCAGCACAACAACATCGACGACTATGTTGCGGCCGAGCCCGTTTTCGAGGCGTCAAAGTACGGCTCCCTGTGGCCTCTGCCGCAGAAAGTGCAGATTTCAGAGGTTTCATTCAAGTTAACCAGTAGCAGCTTCAGGATTGTTGATGCCAAAGCATCGTCCGCTGGACCGAGCTGCAGTCTCCTACAGAGCGCATACAGGAGGTGAGCAGCTGTGTTTATAAGCTGTTTTTATATTTATTTATTTAAATCGCTGCACATTATTTATATATGTGGCGAAATCTCAACACCGCAGCCCGTGTTGCGTTCAGGGGCCAGTTTCCACCCTCGTGCGGTCTCTCTCTGCAGGTATTATGAGTACATGTTCGGCAGCGCTAAAAAGCAGTGGTGGAGCAAAAACAACAGGCGATCAGATCCCTCTGATCTGTCCGAGCTGCAGGTGTGGATCACATCACCTGACTCTGAATGTGACGGATACCCCAGTGTGACTTCTGACGAGTCATGTGAGTACCTTCCCTTCCTCGTTCATGTCATGTTTAACGGCGGTATCCAATCAGGTGCCTCTTCCTCAGCTATTCCATGTAACAAGCTGTAACTACTGTTACTAAACTGCCTTGCGTCACAGAGGGGAAATTGTGTACCTTTTAATCTATTACATGTATGTTCCAGCTTTTCAGGGTACTTCCCACTTTCTGATTTTACAAAGCAAACCAAACGAAAAAGATGTGCAATGAAAGTGAAACCGAATGAATGAAAATATGGAGCAAATTTGTACAGCTGTTTTATATTGATTATGTATGAAGTGTTCCTAACTTGATTGTAACTATTGCCACCTGAAAACAAATTTTCATACTATGCAACCATGTGGAAAAACTAAGTACACGCTTACAGCTTCCATAGGAATTAAAAGGTTAAGTGGCAGCCAGGTGCCAGCTTGATTAATTGATCATTGGCCACTGTGGGCACCTCTCTAAAGGCACAAGTTTGGGCATTTAACATCCCAGGAAATTCACCCCAAGGTCAGAGCAAAAGCATTTCAGACACTACAGGCCTCAGTTAGCATGTTAAAGGTTAAAATCCATGATAGTACAATTACAAACAGCCTCTCCAAATGGGTTGTTTAGAGAGGTTTTTTATGGGGTTTTTTTATGTGCATAAGAATGAATCACAACACTTCTGGAACAATGCCCAAGGGGTGATGTTTGGTCATAATTTACAACTCCAAATTTCGAACGCAGTTAATCAGCACAAATACCTCATACCAACTGTCAGCCATGGCTTTTGGGCCAAAATGCCTCTACACCAACGAGAGACTATTCCAGTCATACAGAGAACACTACAACAGTACAATACTACAATAAGCAAACAATAGTTTGAGGCATTCTGCTGCTGAATCAAGGGGTGTACGTAGTTTTTAACAGGACTGCGTAGTCCTGTAGACAAGGTCGTTTTCACAAGCGTATATAAATGATCTTAACACTTCGTCCATCTGTGATTATGCAGAAATGAATATTGCAAACTGTTATCTGCCTCTGCATGATGAGCATGATATTTATCTACTCTTGCTTGTGGTTTCTGTCCTGTTTTCTTAGACTTTAACACCTAACTTAGAAGTACATTTAGAAATCAGACTGAAATGAAGAAAAAAAACAGGTTTATATTGTGACGTTTTAAAGAGATTAAAATTTCATTAAATTACAGAGTTTAATTACATTTTTGACATGTGACTTCTTACAAAACGTCAGTATTGACTTTAGTACCACCAACTTGCATTTTATTTGATTTACAAATGAAATTGTTTTCATTCAAAGAAAGTTATAGCATTCATTTTTCTGTGAATGCTCTGACTAATATTTCATTGATGATACATTTATTTACATTGGAAATGCAGGGTAATTTCAGTGCACTAGAGCATTTTTGGCTGGTTTCCGTGGTCACACTGAAGACTTTGCAGTGGAATTAGTGATCACCTGGAGATCAAATACTAGAATTAACCCTAACCTTAATCTACACCAAATGTTCAAATCCTTCCTTAAGGCCGTGACTTGACCATTTCCGTACCCTGACCTGAACATCTCTACAACAATCGGCCAAGTTTTGACACGCTGAATATGCAGTAAACAGGTGGTGGTTTCTTACAGATGAACTGACAGTGAATCAGCCAGTTGCTGTCCTGAAGGCACCTAAGGTCTGGGGAGCTCTGCACGGTAGGATTTACAGCATTTATTTTCTTTGTCAAATAATTTCTTATTTCCCCTTTTCTGTTTAGTAGTAAGAAAACAAGAAATTCTATAAAGATTTCTTTGTCTTTTTTTTATTTTTTTTATTAAATAGCTCATATGAATAGTTTTTGTTTATCTTGTTTGTTTTTTGAGAAATTTCCTTATTCGATTACTGGCTGAGAGACGAGATGATAGCTATCAAATCAAGGCCCTGATTAGCTAGAAACGGGGTGAACAAAGTCATCCAGCAGCTCTCAGGCTTATAAATGATCATGTTGCACCTCATTTATTTGTGTACAGTAATAGTCTGCTCAGGTCTTCTGTGTTTGCAAATGCTAAATGGACTCATACTTGTATGGTGCTTTTCTGCTCTAATTGAGCCCTCAAAGTGCTTTTTACTGCACTCACCCAAAGTCCTACACATCCTACACACACTCAAAATCCTATGAACACACTGGGAACATGTAGGCTGAAGGAGCCGGGATCAAACCACAACCTTCCAATTGGTAGACGTGCCACAGCTTCCTGTTTATAGCTTTAATGCTAAGCTAACTATAGTTGTAGCTTCATAGACTCTTTGTCCAAAAGTACTGGGCCACCTACAGGTGCTGCTCAGCCTTGGAAACCCAGACCATGAAGTTCCTAGTGCAGTTTTTGTGCTGATGTTAATGCCAAAGAGCTTTTACACAGGACGCACCTCAACACGACTTGTTGTTGTTGAACTTTGGTCATATTATCCTTTGCTGTTTTCAGATTACATTTAGTTTTATGGGTGTGTAATGTTTTCCAAGAACTGTATCATGTGTTTATTTTGGATTGCTATATTTTTTTCTAGGCCTGGAAACCTTTAGCCAGTTGGTGTTTGAAGATGAATATGGAGCTGTAAGTTGAAGACATTTGGCTGGTTCTGTTTTTTGTTTCTACCATGTTAATCCTTAAAGAACTTTTTGTGAGCTAGATTTGAATTGAAGTTCTTTTTTTTTTCCCCAACTTTGCATCTTTTTCAGAAAAGTGTCAATGCAGCAATAATCAATGACTTCCCCAGGTTTCAACACAGAGGCATCTTACTGGACAGCTCTCGGCACTTCCTTCCCATTAAAGTCATTTTGGCCAATTTGGTGCGAGTAAAACCATTAAAAAAAATATTTTTTACCTTTCAATCATTTAACAGACTTTCTAAATTACTTTCTCTCCTGGTTCATTCATACAGGAAACAATGGCAATGAACAAATTCAATGTTTTCCACTGGCACATTGTTGACGATCAGTCCTTCCCTTACTTAAGCCGAACCTTCCCACAACTCAGCGAGCAAGTCGGTACAAAGTTTGTTGGTTTTAAACTTCACCAGAGAGGAGCAGGGTGCTTTTTATTAAGAGTGCTGTGATCCACTGTTCGCAGGGAGCTTACCACCCATACACCCACGTGTATACACCAGCCGATGTGAAGATGGTAATCGAGTTTGCTCGTCTAAGAGGCATTCGCGTCATACCGGAGTTTGACACTCCAGGACACACACAGTCTTGGGGCAAAGGTCAGGTTTTTAGACAACTTTTTAGTTTTAACAATTTTTTTTTTGTTTTTGAAGATGTCTTGATCTTTACTCTATCACTTCCCATCAGGCCAAAAAGATCTTCTCACACCCTGTTACTCTGGGTCCAAACCCTCTGGCTCTTTCGGGCCAGTGAATCCCATCCTGAACACCACGTACGACTTCATGGCTCAGTTCTTCACGGAGATCAGCACCGTGTTCCCCGATGGCTACGTTCACCTGGGAGGTGATGAGGTGGACTTCACATGCTGGTGAGACTGTGCACGCATAGTCAGAAAAATTTCTTTTCGCCTCAGAGGTCAGGCAACAGATATTAGCTGCTGGCTTTGTCCTGCAGGAAGTCCAACCCAGACATTCAGAAGTTCATGGAGCAGCAACATTTTGGAGACGACTACAGAAAACTGGAATCATTCTACATCCAAAAGTGTGTTTCCCACCAAACCTCTGTTTGCTATTTAATAGTTGAAATGAAAAAAAAAAGTTTCCTTTGATGCTTTCTTGATCCAACAGACTCTTGGATATTGTGACCTCTACCAAGAAGGGCTACCTGATCTGGCAGGAGGTCTTTGACAATGGTGTTAAGGTAAGGTCTTGAAACATTAGCTAAATCAATTTGAATGTTGAATGCTTAATCATCAGTTTAACTTTGATTTAATTTGAAGTTTTTCATTTAGTTAGTGAAGGACTAATTGGAAAATTTATGCTTTTTTACTTTCTTGCTGAAAGTTGGATAAATACTCAATTGTCTAAATGCTAAATTATAGGCTCGCACTAGTAGCCGGTTACTGGGGCTATAGTTACCATGATACATATATATATTTCTCATGAGCCTGAAAGGAAAGGTGACTCCAGACTTCTGCACAGTACTGTATAATTGTGTTAAACTGTCATGAAATTAGTCACTTTTCTCAGGAAGCTTGTTAATATTAGCTAGCTGGCAATCATAGAGAAATATTCAAATAATCAATACTGTGAAATGATGCTAAGTCCAAACTAGCTCAATTTGCATCATTAAGAAGCTTGTCTTGCCTGTATGGGGTCCTGGCTACTAAAGTTTGAGAGTCAATGGCTTAAAAGATTTAAAGTCTGCTTATTAGACTTTAGGATTTTATGATGTAGGCCGTAACAGCAATTTACCCATTTCAAGACTTTGTAGTAAGCTTAGCTTACTAGCTTTTAATGCTAACTTAGAGACAGACATGAAATTAGTCTTGAGATTCTCATCTAACTCTTGGCAACAAAGCAAAACGATGTTACACCAGTCATGTCCTCTAATCATTTCTTTAGTCACAGTCAACCTTCATGTAACGATTTAACTCAAGTGCACGAGTTTGATTTGTAACCATTCCAGCTAAAGCCTGACACGGTAGTGCATGTGTGGATTGGTGGCGGAAGTGATAAGGAGATGAGCAATGTCACGGCAGCAGGCTACACCACCATCCTCTCTGCTCCATGGTACCTAGATTATATTAGCTACGGGCAGGATTGGCAGAAGTACTACAAAGTTGAACCACTCAACTTTGAAGGTCAGTTTTAAACAAGAATTGGTCATATTTTGAATATATATTGATATGAACTCAATTTTTTTGTTACTTCCAACAGGCTTACACTTGTACACTTGAAAATTGCACAGTTGTGACAAAAGGCCAACAGACTGAACATGGGGCATTGTGGTTGGTGGTTTCAGATGTTGTTCTTTTTAATGTGCTGCTGTTTTCACCACTATGGGGGACCAATCGCATATTTGAAATGATACTGAAAAAACTGAGAAGGAAGTCATGAGTAAACAATGTTGGGTACATTTGCGCATGACTGGTTCTCTATAAAGCTGGAAAAAGCTTTTGTCCTAGTTCCTCTCCGTACTTTTCTCTTATGTTCTCATTACTGAGATGTCTGTGTATGTGTGTGCTGTGTAGCTGAAAGCAGACACACTAATCCACGTTTGGAAGGGAAACCAGGAACAATACCAGAATGAGATGGCAAGCGTTACTGCATCAGGGTACCAGACCCTGCTGTCCACTCCCTGGTACCTGAACCGTATCTCCTACGGGCAGGACTGGCAGGGCTTTTACAAGGCCGACCCACAGGACTTTAAGGGTTTGTGTCTGCATTAATGATTCATATATATATATATTTTTTTTTAAGGTCATTTCCGATTCATATTTACAACCTGTCAGAACTTGACCCCGTTCATGTGATAATATTTTGTTGCTTTGTTGTTGTCAGGGTCACACTGTAGTCAACTTTTGGCCTAGATCTCAAGTGTCAGGAAGGTCACTCCTGTGCAAATTGGTGTAAGCCTGTTCAGTAACGAGCAGAAAAATAAATTAATATTTTACTGTCATTCGGGAGAATATATAATTTAAATAATTAAATTATTTTATTCATCACTTGTCCCTTTTCAGTTTTTCGAATGTGTCATTGTTGAATTTCCCTGACCCGATCAAATGCTAAATTTTAAAACAGGAACTGATGAGCAGAAAAAGCTGGTGATTGGTGGAGAGGCCTGCTTGTGGGGAGAGTATGTGGACGCCACAAACCTCACACCCAGACTTTGGTAAGCCTGATATAGGTGCATTTAAATAGGCGATTAACAGACAATATGCATATTATTCAGTTCTAAATGAGGTAAATGCTACCTGAGCTCAACAACACATGACATATTACACTCTCTTATTCAATAACTAAGCAAAAATGCAGAAGCAGTGTATAGAAAACGAGGTGCACTTTATCATTCAGTAATTGTTTTCTCTCACAACATTGTGGCCCTCTATTGTTTACAACCGCGGTCCCCAACCCCCGGGCCTCGGACCGGTACCGGTCCGTGAGTGGTTTGGTACCGGGCCGCGAGAGTTGAGGCTCAGGTGTGAAATGTATGGTTTTCAGGGTTTTTATCGGTTTTCAGCGTTATTTTGTTATCTTTTTATCGTTAACTCGGTTTTCCTGGGTCTTTTCACGTGTGTTATGAATAAATCTTCTTTTTTTCGGTACCGGTACTAGTTTTATTTTGTTGTATTTATCCGCGACACCTTAAAGGCCGGTCCGTGAAAATATTGTCGGGCATAAACCGGTCCATGGCGCAAAAAAGGTTGGAGACCGCTGGTTTACAATATTCAGTTTATTGAGGTTTTCAGGAACCTTTGAAAGCTATTTGCATGAACACAGCTCTCTTGAAGTATTTATCTAATGCTGTGGAGTATATTTCAATCAGGTTTGAGGTCGAGAGCGTGGTCTGGACTTTGACTGTGCCAATACAGCATTACTTTTTTCTCTTTCAGCCATTCTGTTATAGGTTTTCTGAATTTTCTGAACTCTCACATTTGCTTCTACAATACTTTAGTATTCAGAGGAGTTCATGGTTGACTCGGTACAACCTGAATCATCACCCCTCCACCACTGCGCTTGGCAGTTGTTAAGAGGTGTTTGTGCCAATGCTGTGTTCGATTTCCACCAATTTGGCCAAAGACTTCTGTTTTAGTCTCATCTGTTCAAAGGATATTATCCCCGAAACCTAATCTGTGCTGCCATGTTTTAGAGGAGAGGCTTTCTCCTGGCAAGTCTTCCAAACAAACCCATACTTGTTCGGTCTTTTTCTGATTTGAGACTTTCAAAATGTCCATATAAGCCCTCCCAAATTGATGGGCAGCAACAATTGCTTCTCTAAGATCACTGCTGATTGCTTTCCTCCCTCATTGAGTTAACCTGAATACTCCAGACAACCAAAACTTCTGCTTCTTGTTATTACCTCCAGGCCTCGTGCCAGTGCTGTGGCAGAGCGGCTGTGGAGCGCCAAAGACGTGACCGACATCGGCGATGCCTTCAACAGACTGTCGCTGCACCGCTGCCGTATGGTAGAGTAAGTATCAGAGGAGCCTTTGTACCACTAATTTGTATCAACCTACTAATTTTATCAGTTAGCAGGTGCCTTTCTGTTAAGAGGAGATTCATTTAGGTATTTTGCATTAAGGTGTTGTTCCACTACTAAATAATTGTGTCCTACATTAGGCGCGGCATCCCAGCTGAGCCGCTGTTTTCCAGCTACTGTCCACGTGAGTACAAGGGTGTCTGAAAACGAAGACCGGACCCAGCAAATGAAATGGAAAGGGAAGAAATTCATATTCTTTTGACTATTCTTCAACTATATGAAACTAAAATGCTGAACTTCCTAGATCACTGTACCGATGAGCTCTGAAACACATCGTCCTTTTTTTAGATTTGCTCCACAGAACTTTTAAATCACATTTAATGTCGAAGGTGTTACTGTTATGATTGCACTTTTTTTTATGAATGTTTCTAGAATTCATTGTCAATAAAAAGTTAAAAGTTCAGAAGATTTTTCTGGTTGTTTACAAAATAAAAACCAAGGATTTAAAGTGACTGGTTTCACGTTTATTTTAGAACATCATACACAACTTCTTGTCTCTGTTAACCAGCTGTAGATATTCACAGAATAAATATTTGATCCAGACTAATTATTATTGTCTGAGGGGGGAGGAAAAAAATCATCTCTCTGTTTGAGAAGGCTTCTGGTCACATTACTGAACTGGGATCACAGCAGGCCAGAGAGTCTTTTGAGGAGTGTGTTCTGCTCCTGAGGGTTCATGGCCTCGTAGGTATCCAGCTCCAGGGAGAAGGTGGCGTTGCCAGATGTCAGTGTTCGTAGAACGGTGGAATAACCCTTTACGTGGACACAAATTTTTAAATCAGAAATAATTCTCACTAGCAAATTAAACCCTCCAAAAAAGCAATCTGTTAACGTTTGAGTGTCCTCTTACCATCATCTCAGCCAGGGGCACGGTTGCTAAGAGCACCTTGTTGTCATGACGGCTCTGGATGTCTCTGACCGTTCCTCGTCTTTGAGACAAGTCTCCCAGCACCGAGCTGAGGTGGTCATCGCCGACAGTCACTTCTAACGACATGACTGGCTCGAGGATCTGTCCGCCCGCGAGCCGCAGGGCCTGCATCCAAAGAAATGGAACCACGGCTCAGCCTTATAGTTCCAGCACTAACCAACTAGAGCTTATCAATAATGCTTTTACCTTCAGCATGCAGCGAGACACGCAGGCAGACACCATGGCAGGTGAAGTCCCAGGTTCTATGGTAACACGCTGCATCAGCGTAGACACACTCTGCAATGGGTAACCTAGCAGTGGCCCTGAATGAAGGAGTTATTGCAATTAAGGGGGGGAAATTGTAATAAATATACAGCATATAATTAAAAAAATTAACTAAAATAAGGGACGTTCCAGTGCTTTGTGTGTTTCCCTGAAAGAGGGAAAAAATGAGTTTGGTCCATTTACCTTGAAGAAATGAGCTGTGCACTCCATTCTCCACTGCCTCTTTCATTTCTGCTGAAAGCTGTCCCTCTAATTCTTCCGTGAAAGCCAGTTCGCATGAACCACCCACTGAGGCGACATCCACAGGCCTGACAGCCAGCTCCACTGTTACGACATGTCTTCTCTCCCCTACTGTCCGGTCCAGCGTGTCTGCACCAAATTCATAAAAAGAATTTGACGGCTGCTGCGCGAAGCTGACGAAAACCGTTCCTCCAAATGTAACAAGTGAAAAGTGTTTGTACCTGAAGCCGAAGCCTCGTGGAGAATTGTCTCTCTGTAAGCAACCTGCAGCGGCCCGAGGTGAGTCTCAATGCCGTGCTCTCTTCTGATTCGATCGTGGATGATCTCGATGTGCAGCTCTCCCATTCCGCATAAAATGGTCTGAGAACGGAGAGCGAAGGTGGTTTCGGTGACTCATTCTAGCACTGGACAAAGAAAGTCCCGGCTAATCCGATGCATTACCTGACCAGAGTCTGGATCAACTCGGACTTTGAGACTGGGGTCTTCTCTTTGGAGGCAGTTGAGCACATTTTCAAGATCTTTCATGGTAAAAAAAAAAAATTAATAATTGAGTGAGCACAGTTGGTGAAGCACAGCTACACACTTTGCACATAATCGCCTCAAATAACTGACCGGCCTGTTTGGACATAGATGGCGGTTCTATGGTGCAGAAGAAGACGGGATCAGGGACCTCCACTCCTGACAGGATCACGCTGGCACACTCTCTGCTCCTCTTTCCCGCCTCGCTGTCATTTTGGGCTCGACGGGCCGCGGCTGCTGCTGACGCCTTCGATGACACAATAGTGTCTCCTGTAACTGTCTTAAATGAAAGGAGAAACCATAAGGAACATTTGATGGTGGGGGGGATCTTAATTTAAGCAAATATTGGAAATTTAGAGAAGCTCTACCTGCTTGAGTCCCACAGTAAGAGCAATATTTCCCGCTGTCATCGAAGGGATTTCTACATGCTGGTCAGCAAATGGCACCAGCAGCCTGCTCATCCTCTCACTGCAAATATACAAGATTGGACATGCTGTGTTGTAATAATGACTCTGTGATGGAGTACGTCTGTGAAAGTGTGTTACACTGCAGCTGCTGTGGAGATCAGAGGTTCGAAACTGCATACGTGCTGTTCCTGTTGATGTTGTGGAGCGCCGTCTGTGCTTTCAGAGTACCAGAGTAGATCCTGAGAAACACCAGAGGGCCGCGCTGCTTGTCGTGGAGAACCTTGAAGGCCAGTGCACACAGGTCGTCTTTGTACCACCGCCTGTGAGATGATAATGAACAGGGCTTATGGGCCTCCGTGTATCAGTCTTGTTTGTCCAGCACATCCCACAGCCGCTCGATTGAATTTTCAGAATTTGGAGGCCAAGTCAACCATTCCTGATGCTAACATGACCATTGTTGGCCCTTTCAGAGGTTGACAGAGGTGAGCATGGAAAACCTGACGGGTCTGCGATTACGGATCCCCATATGCAACAAACTGGGACACACGATGTATTCTGACACCTCTCTTTCACCTTTCTACTGACCGCTGCAACTCGGGAACACCCCACAAGAGCTGCAGTTTAGGAGATGCTCTGACACAGTCGTCTAACCATCTCAATTTTGCCTTTGTCAGTCTCGCTCAAATCCGTACGCTCTCCAATTTTTCCTGCTTCTAACGCATCAACTCTGAGAGCAAAATGTTCCCTTGCTTCCTAATATGTCCCACCAGCTAACAGAAGCCATGACGAAGAGATAATCAGTGCTATTCACAGCATCAACACCAAGCATTCTCTGTAGTTAGGTTCAGTTGTAATCTAGTCAACAGATAAAGAAACAATCATTTCAGTTACAATTAATAATATCAAATTGAAAAAAAAAAACAAAAAAAAACAATCCTTCCAGCCTAATCTGATCTAAACTAGAGCAATGTGACCTAAAATGATAAGAACGGTAAAAAACATACTTAACTTGGTGTTATAACAGGTCTAGTCTAAGTTAGCAGTAAGCTGAAAGGTTCACTTACATCACATCATGGTGTCGTTCATTAGGAGCAGGCAGGTAGGCAGTGATGGCATCTAAAAGAGGCTGAACACCTTTGTTTCTCAAAGAGCTCCCACAGAGGACCGGTACACCTTTACGGGCCAGAGTAACTCGCCGCACGGCTTCTTGAAGCTGGAGACGTGTTCGACACTGATAAGTCTATATTCACAAGAACTAACAGCAGCACTGATGTACCTTAAAAGGTCATATTGGGGCACTACAATTTGCAAGACTTACTTTATTAGAGGGAATGGCATCGAAATTCTCGCTAAAATCGGTTAGCAACAGTTCTGCAAACTCATCGTCCAGATCAGCGACCTGTGATTTGAGAAAAGACGTGTAAACTGGAAGAAAAAAATCGGAGGCACCTTAAGTAATGCTGGAAAACGTTACTCCAATCTGATCGTGTACCTGCTCAATTAAAGCTGTCCTTGCATCGCTGACCACCTGCAGGAGGTCTGGATCATCAGACCGGTCAAGAGCTTTGACTTCAAACACTCTGCCATCATCTCTCATAGATTTCATCTTCCACATCAGCTTCTGGCTGGTTAACAAGTCAACAACACCTGTGAAGTTCTTTCCACTGCCAACAGGAATCTATGACACAGGGGTTTATAGACTGTGAAATATCGCTGCTGTGTTGCATTGTTGTACTAAAAGACACTCTGTTCAGTTCATCCAGTAAGTACATTTTGTTTTAAACCTGTTTTTGTGCTAGCCAAGTTTAGAATCACATTTAATATCCTAGGCGTTCATGCACACTGGTGCAGTGTTAAAACTGTGAAATGTAATATATATATATATATATATACATACACATAGTGTAGATGGCAGTTGAGGCTGGAGACTCAAAACTATGTGTAAATAAAATTGGCAAAATAAAACAGAAAAACTTTTCAGGAACGTAAAGAGCTGTTGACAATTTCTGATGACCTACCTGCAAGAGGACTGGATTGGCTTTCAATTTCTGCCTTATGCTCTCAATGCAGAAACTCAAGCTGAAAGAAAACAAAATGAAAGAGTCTCTATTTTAACACTGCAACAGAAAAGTAAAACAAAACTTGCATTAAATGGGAAAACTTAAACTGAGTCACTCACTTCGCTGCAGGCTTGTCCATCTTATTGAGGAAACAAACACAGGGGATGTGGTGCTTCTCTGCTTGTCTCCACACAGTCAGAGTCTGAGCCTGTTGGCGTTTTCAAAGAAAAAACCCCCACAATGATCAGAGCCTGAAGCCAATTTTTTAATGAAAAAAAGAAGGTGTTTGGAAAAGGGGAAATAACCTCAACGCCAGCCGACGCGTCAAACACCACCACAGCCCCATCAAGCACACGAAGTGCCCGTTCCACCTCAAGCGTGAAGTCAACGTGTCCTGTAGTGACGCAGTCATTCAGTCATTTTTTAAATTTCTACAAGAAATTGCCTTATTTCTTTATTCTTACCTGGTGTGTCTATGAGATTTATTCTATGACTTTTCCAGTCAAAGGTTACTGCTGCTGACTGTATGGTGATGCCACGCTCTCGCTCTTGGGCCATAAAATCTGTCACTGTATCCCCATCGTCAACATCTAAAAACAACAGTGACATGAAATCAAATTGTTTAAAAAAAACATTTTAAAAAAAGAATCAGAGTCAGGTTTGGATAATTAAGAATTTGCATCACTGCTGCATGCTGTTTTCCTGCACACCTCCCAATGCCCTTGTGTAACCGGCGTAGTAAAGCATTCTCTCTGTGGTTGTCGTCTTGCCTGCATCGATGTGGGCCATGATGCCGATGTTTCGGATTCTGTAGACACACGAATTGATGGGACTCTAAGAACACAGCAGAATCTGCCGGGTACTTTTTAATGCAGATGCAGAATGCAATTAAATTACTCACCTGGATATTTCAGGGTTGACGAGAGCCCGTAATGATTTGACATCATCTATG